ATAAATCTATGTAATTTATATGCAAGCATAAAAAACATTTTTAAAAAATGATATAGTTTTTTAAAATTGTGAAAAGAGTAGTATTGTCTTATATTTTTGCAGATTCTTTAATATCTATCTGGCTTAGTAGAAGGCAGATGGATTTTCATATATGCCTTTTATTCAATTACTTGTAATTCTTTTTTTTTGGATTAAATAAATGAAGAAAATCTGATCTTTCATGGATATGAAGTTAGAAAATAAAGGAGTATTTTTTGGAGGGGGGCATGCTGTGTGGCCTTGAGGGATCTTAGTTCCCTGACCAGGGTTTGGATCCACACTTCCTGAATTGAAAGTGCAGTCATAACACTGAATCACCAGGGAAGTCCCAAGAAAGGAGTATTTTAATAAACTTTTTAGAAAATTATAGATATTATTCTTTGATACTACATCAAAATTCAACAAGTAGCAGTTTCTTGGAAGTTATTTGAAACTTTTATCAGCTAAATTTTTGTACTCTGTTACAGTAAAATGTATTTATTATCTTGCAGTTTGAATGGATATTTTAACCCATACATGATTTGGAACACACATATAACAAATAGTGAAAACATTGGTTCCCTGAGTCGAAAGATCTCCCAAATGTTGATTTTCATTATGCAACATGGAAAAATCATATTCATATACCACCAATCTATCAGAAAAATATTTATCTACTGAGAAACTGTCAAGCTCACAAGGGCAGTTACAAGTTTTCCAATATTCTAACATTTGAAATTTGAAAGCCCAGATTTTATTATAGGCTGCAAATACTGTCAGTGGTTTTATTTTATATGACAGGTTCATTTTGTTCATTTTCAAGAAAATATCTGCCAAATGCCCAAGTCTTCATAACTTGAGTTTTGGCTGTCAGTCATTCTTTCAAGGGCTTCCCAGGTGGGTCATCAGTAAAGAATCCACCTGCCAATGCAGGAGACATGGGTTTGATCCCTGGGTTGGGAAGATCCCATGGAGAAGAAAATGGCAACCCACTTCAGTATTCCTGCCTGAGAAATCCTGTGGACAGAGGAGATTGGTGGGCTACAGTCCTTGGAGTTGCAAAATAACTGTACTTGACTTAGCAACTAAACAACAACAACAACATTCTTTCAAATAAAAATGATGTCCTATTCCAAAAGTAGCTAGTTCAGTTCACAACTCTAACAATTATACAAATGCTTTTCCTTGAAATGACCACTATGGCTTTTGGTATTCAGAAGTGCTTTATGCAGATTTCCCATTTTATCACATAGACTATTAAAAAGTGTATTCAAAGACTGAGATTTCATAAAATTGATCCTGCACTTTTTCATCAATGACATTCTTAAGTGAAGGTTTCTTTTTCCCTATGAGTTCCTACTGATGAGGACTATGTACAATGATTACTGTACAGTTGGTGCCAGTGTCTTGATTTGGACTATGAAAATTGTTTTACTCATCGTGGCTTTTGGGCCATCAATGCACATGTCAACACAGTGAAAAAAGGCAAAGGTGGTCTAATATTTTGAAAATAGTTTTGACTTCACAGATTCCCTGAAAGGGTATTAAGAGCCAGTAGGGATTCATGGACCACATTTTAAGAACCATTACCACAGAGGATATAATATATGACTATACCATAATTTATCTAGTCTATTCCTGATGGAAGCCTGCATTGTTCTCACTTTGGGACTACTTCAAACACTGCTGTTATCAACTTTCTCACATGTCTTCTGGAATACACACGCATGGATTTCTGTTAAGTATATATCTAGAAATGAAATTGTTGGTTCACTGGGTAGGTGTATACTCATCTTTTAAGACACTACCAAACAATGTTCCAAAGTGGTTGTACCAATTCAGCAGTGTAAGAGAGTTCCAGTTGCTCCATGTGATGATCAAAACATGACATTATTAGCTATTTGGATTTAGACATTCTTATTGTGGTTTTAGTTTATATCCTCCAGATGGCAAATGAAATCGACCTCTTTGTTATATGTGTATTGGTCATTGACATCTTTTTTAACTAAGTGCCTGTTCAAATTTTTCTTTTTAAGAATTTTCCACTGAATGTCTCTTTTTTTATCTTATTGATTTAGAATAATTATATGTGTTCCCCGAATTAATTTTTTTTTAAATGGTGAAGATAGAGCCCTCAATGACTTTTTAAAAACTAAACTTTCTATTTTAAGAATTGTAGATTCACACGCAATTATAAGAAATGATACAGAGAGATCTCGTATACCTTTAACCCAGTTTCCCCAAATAGTATCATCTTGCAAAACTGTAATATAGTATCACATCAAGGAATATCTCCATCACTACAAGAACCCCCCTTGTTGCCCTTTGGGGATTTTTTTTCTCCCTCAGCATAATTCTGTGTGGATTCATCCAGGTTGTTGTATGTATCAACAGTTCATTGTTTTTTATTGTTGAGCAGTGGTCCACATTATAGAGGTTTCACAATTTCTTTAATTATTCACCTATTTAAGGTCATCTGGATTGTTTCCAGTTTTTGTCTGTTATGAATAAAGCTCCTATAAACATTCATGTACAGATTGTTGTATGAGTATAAGTTTTTCTTTCATGGGATAAATCCCCAGAGGTTACAACTTCTGGATCCTATGGTGGTTGACTAGATTGTTTTTTTTAATCTACTGACTTGTTTTCCAGAGAGACTGTATCATACATTCCTACCAGCAATGCATGAGTGATAAAGTTTCTCTGTATCCTCACCAACATTCATTGTTGTCATCTTTTAAATTTAACCATTCAGATACAAGTGTAGTGATATCTCATTGTGGCTTTTTATTTTCATTTTCTTAAGGATATTGATGTAGAACTCAGCCCTTATGTGCTTTGTTGCCATTTTCATATCTTCTTCATGTCTTTTCATATCTTTTGCACATATTCTCGTAGACTTTTTTTGCACTTAAGTTTTAAATTTCTTCATATATTCCAGATATTAGTCCTTTGATGGATATGTGACTTGCAAATATTTTGTTCCAGATTGTAGCTAATTAGATCATTTTATATGAGTTTTGTAGAGCAAGAGTTTTACTGTTGATGAGATCAAATTCATTACTTTTTCCTTTTCTGAATTGTGCTTCTGGTATAAAATCTGAACACTTTAGCAATTTGTTGAATGAGAACAATAAAAGCATACATCTTTTTTTTCAGTCTTAGAGAGAAAGCATTTATTGTTTTGCATTAAATCTAATGTTAGTTGTGAGTTTTTGTAGATGATTTTTATCAGGTTGTCCTCTATTCCTAGCTTTCTGAGAGTTTTATAGTGAATGAAGTTTGAATTTTTTCAAATACTATCAAGCATCAATTGATATGATCATGTCATTTTCTTCTTTAACCTACTAATATGGTAGATTACAGTGATTGCTTTTTGGGTATGTACCAGCTGTGCATTCCTGAAATAAACTCCATTCTGTCATTGTATGCGATTATTTTTATGTATTGCTAAGTTCTATTTGCTAATATTTTGTTAAGAATTTTCGCATCTCTATTTGTGAAAGTTAAGTTTATTTTCCTGTAGTATTTTTGTCTGGTTGTGATATAAAGTTATAAGGGTATTGCTAGTTTCATAAAACAAATTGGGAAATGTACCCATATTTTCTATTTTCTGGAAGGCATTTTGTAAAATATATGTTAATTATTGCTTAAATATTTTGTAAAATCCTCAAGTGAAGTCATCTGGACCTGGAAATTTACTTGGGGAGAGTATTTAAATTATGAATTCAATTTCCTTAACTGTTATATGCTATTCCAATGATCTATTTTATATTGGTTGAGATTTGGTAACTTGTGCTTTTGTAAAGAATTTGTCCATTTAATCTCAGTTGTCACATTTATGTGTATCCAGTTGTATGTAATATTCTCTTGCTATCTTTTTAATCAATTTGCATACATTGAACCATCCTTGCATCCCAAGAATACATTCCATTTCATCATGGTATCCGCTTCTAGTAATGTGCTATTGAATTGTTTGCCAATATTTTATAGAGGATTTTTATATCTGTGTTTATTATGGATATTGGTTTTTAGTGTTCTTTTTTTGTGGTATCTTTGCCTGGCTTTGGTATGAGTGATGCTGGCCTCTTAGGATGAGTTGAAAAGTATTCCCTCTTCTATTTTTTTTTTTTTGAAATATAAGAAGGTTTCTTATTAATTCTTCTTTGAATGTTTGATAGAAATCTCTGGTGAAGCCATCTAGTCCTGGGCATTTTGGTGTTTGTGGGGGAAATGTTTGATTACTATTTAGTCTCTCTGTTATTGATCTGTTCAGATTTTCTAAAACTTAACTCTTTTCTAGTGTATGCATTTGATGGCATATATTTCCCTCTCAGCATTGTTTTAGCTATGCAACACAAATTTTGATATGTTCTACTTTCAATTTTATTTAATACAATGTATTTTGTAAAATTTCCCTTGAGACTTACTTTTTGATCCATGGGTTATTTAGAAGTATACTGTTTAGTTTCCAAGTGTTTGGAGATTTCCTGTTACTGACTTCAGATTGATTCTGTTATGATCAGAAAATATGTTTTGCATATTTCAATTTTTTATACATTTGTTGAAGTTTATTTTATGGTCTGGCATGTAGTTTGTCTCAGTATATATTTTGTGGGGGCTTGAAAATGTGTATTCTACTATCATTGGGTGCCCTGTTCCATAAGTATGTTACTTGATCATTTTTTAGAATTCGCTTTGATTTAAATATTATGTTCTAGCTTTTCTAGTTATTCTTGGGAGGAAGATTTATCTGCTATAACCTGGTTCAATGTAGTTAGAAGTAAAAGTAACCCATAAACATGTATGTGAATCTGTATGTGTATGTAACAGCATAGGTGATTCATGTATTCATGAGGTTGTGAATGATTTGACCAACAAGTCCTGTGACTGTTACTTCCTCTGGCACTTGGCCAGAGCAGGAATTTCTTATCTAAAATCACAGCTGTTACTAGCTGTGGCTTGCTTTCTGTCTTCTCCAGGACTTTTTGTCATGTATTGAGAACTACAGACGAAGAGGACAAGAACTATATGCATCTCTATACAAAGATCATGTACAGGTAAGAAGCAAGACAGTGTCTTTCTCTGTACACTAGACTGGAATCCACCTTGAACATGAAATAAAGATTCACAAGAGCCTTTGGTTTAAACTCTAAATTGGCTCAGAAAATAGTTGATCATTAGTAAGTCGGTTCTACCTGCAAGACCTATGCCATGGAATTTGGATCCACAGTGTTAGCAGCTGAAGAGATAGGCAGTGTGTCCATTCACTTATCTACTCACTCATCTACTAGTAAATAGGCATCCAGAGCCCAGGGTGCCTCAGACTTTGTGCTGGGAGCTAGGGGCATGACTCTGTTATCTATGCCCCTTGGACAGGCCCTTGCATGTCAACTCCTCACTATTTGAGTTCACTGACTTCATTCAGGACTAGCATTACAATTAAATTCAGTTGCCATTGGGGGAAAAATAAGATGAATCATGTAGGATTGCATCCTTTATTTAGGAATATCCCTCATCACACTTGTTCCATTTCAAGACAGGCGACACTATCTAAACTTTCAAATCAGCATCTAGTGAAGTTGTGCTCTGTGGTCCTTGGTGAATTTCTGCTGAAATTTGAAAGATGGAAAGTTCATGGGAAAGGACGGAACCTCAGCAGAGGCTCTGAGCCCAGAAAGCAAGGGTCCAGTCTCCTGGAACGTCAGCCAGGCTCATTTTCAGCATGGGGCCTGTCTGGGGCTCAGAGAGTGCTTGAGAAAGTTGTGTAGAGCTTTACTGTTGATTGAGGTAGTTTTTAGAAAATCAGCATTTTGAAGCTAATCCATAAGGACACTTTCCAAGTGTTTAAATATTTAAGACAGATTGTTTTGATGTTTTAAAGAATGCAGATATTATCACTGTCTGACGGAGATGATGGGGTCTGGAGCATTCACCCCACTTTCTTTTAAGTGACAGCACACTTTCCCAATGTAGCCTCACTCCACTTCCTGAGAAGTCAAGTCCAAGGTCTGAAAAGAAATAAGGCCCATGAAATATGCCATGTTCTTCAAGGACAGCTTCTCCTAAGTACACTCCATGAGGTCCTCCCAAGAGGGTTGAGATAATGAGATTCAGACCCCCACCCACACGGCTCTCAGTAACAGGTTACATAAGAGTTCTTCAACTGGGCATTTTACCTACACCCAAGAGGTCACTGGAGATGCAGGTGCTCCTGACATGACAAGATAGCATCACCCAGTGCCCTGGAAGCTAACCCAAGCATCACTACACTCCATCATCTCATCACCAGCAAATCATGCAGTTCTGATATTCACTCTCCAAATTTCTCATCACTCCAGAGGTACTGGTGGAAACAGATGCCTCTGCTCTGGTTCTGCCAGGATGCCCCTTTGCCATTTCCAGTTCTATTTGTTCTTTTCACTGTGGTCTGGCTGCTCTGGGCTCTGCTCTGCCATATACCCGGGCTGTCTGCTCTTACACTGAGTCCTCATAATCCCTTATAGATATTCCTCACTAGGTCTGTGGTTTTTTTAAGTTACAGTTTTTACAGATTAAAGCTCTTTGTAAAATGCCTTCCACCCCAGAAATGGCCCTTTTTAAAAAAAATGTGAGAGGGGCACTGCTCTGTCTGCTCTCTTTTGGGCTCCCTAGGGGCCATGTTGGAGAAGACTCTTGAGAGTCCCTTGGACTGCAAGGAGATCCAACCAGTCCATCCTAGAAGAGATCAGTCCTGGGTGTTCATTGCAAGGACTGATGCTGAAGCTGAAACTCCAATACTTTGGCCACCTCATGCGAAGAGTTGACTCATTGGAAAAGACCCTGATGCTGGGAGGGATTGGGGGCAGGAGGAGAAGGGGATGACACAGGATGAGATGGCTGGATGGCATCACTGACTTGATGGGCATGAGTTTGAGTAAACTCTACGAGTTGGTGATGGACAGGGAGGCCTGGCATGCTGCGATTCATGGGGTCGCAAAGAGTCGGACATGACTGAGTGACTGAACTGAACTTAGGGGCCAACAGCTGTTTCCACTTCTTGCTCAGGCTCTATGTATCCATTAGGTTTTGGTCCCAGCTTTTTCAGATGTAAGTATCAGAAACTCAACCCAAACTGACTTAGGCAACACATGAAATGTTTTGTGTTACTGAAAGATCCAGGAGAAGATCAGGCTTCTTCTGGAAGAAGAGCTGGATCCAAATATTCAAGCTCTTCTCTAAGGAATCTGGCTCCTCTCTCCCTCTTTCTTTTTCACACACACACATGCAAACATACACACACAAATGTACAGGATTACTATAGTCTGAGGCACCAGGGCACATAGAGGAGAGTATGTGAGGCTTGAGGGAACTCATGCTCTGCTCCCCAGGTTATACTTCTTGGAACCAGGAAGAGCTCATATGAAGGATGAAAAATCATCTAACTTGTTCAGAGGGACTGTCTCATTGCTGAGCGACCTGCCTATATAGGCTGTGTCTACCTCAGGTGCATATACATCATGTGCTTTTTCCTGATGTACATAAGGTTGCCAAGAGCAGGGGTGTGTGGCCTTGAGTATGTACACACCCACCTCTTTGCAGTCTGCTCTGTATGGGCTCTTGAGACCAATAGTTCCAATCCCAATAAATGATGCTCAGTAACCCATCCTATAACCATTCATCACCTACCAAAGTCAGATCAGCCATACTCCAGCACTGGGACTGGAAGTAGAGAAGGGCTGGTTGCCAAGAGGAAAGCCTCAATGAGGCTACCCAAGAGTTTTTATTTAGCCAAGAATCATAGCTCCCTCTAATTCACCAGCATCCCTGCCTCTGGGTCTGATGTGGCATTTGGCCCATTAGCGGTTTGAACTGAAAGAGGACTTTACCCTGTGCACAAACATGGGCTTTATGAACACCTTGCAGGTTTAGAAACTCAGGACTTTTGCTTATTTAGTCACATAATGTCCTCTGTCCTGGGACCACATATAGCCTTCTATTATGGATTAAACAATTGTTCATCTCTGAGGGATGAATGAGGGATCCTATCACCGACACTCATATGTCTGACTACAGATATTCAAGAAAACACATTTGCCCTGCGATGCAGACTCAGGCAGCCGTGAACCTCCAGGTTGCACAAATGGCGCCCTAAGGTGGGAGGGATGATCTTAAAAGACTAATTTGAAACTCCAGATGGACAACCCAGTAGCATGAGATTGTTCATCCTCTGTGAAACTCAATATGGAACTACAAATGCAACAATAGTCTCCAAGGCGCTGAAACATTTTCCCCAAACAAGTGTTCATTTCATATAACTAAATCCATATAAAAGACTTTGGGTAGTCATTATTTTCCTGGAGTCTTTTATTAAAAAATTGGAGTACTTGTAAAATGCTATGATTATTTTGGGTATGAATTTAAGAACTGTGGAGAAACAAAGTAATCTTGTTTTGAAATAAGATTTGCTTTATTCACAATAATAATACTAACTGCTTAAGTTTGCGAGGCACCACATTAAACTCTTGAAAATATTGTCTCATTCGATCCTTATATAATCCCATGGTTTTATTATTGTGGTAATATTACTAACCAAATTTGACTGATGAAGATTCTGAGTCTCCTTCAGATTAGGTGGCTAGTGAGAAGCAGAAACATTGTGACAACCCAAGTTCATCTGACACCAAATACCATGTGCTTAGAACTATACCATCTGTCTTGTTTTTGAGACAATTTTCAAGCTCTGAGAATGATTTTCCCATTTAAAATGGTCCATATTTTCAGGATCTATCTCTAAGTCTGCCAGTCTTTGAAGTAATACTGGCAGAAATTAGGATTTAATAAAATGATACCAGGGCCCTAGGAAAGGAATCAGGCATGCAGTTTGAAGCTAAAGGCTCTGGAATCAGACAGACTGGGTTTCAATCTTAGCTTGGTCAGCTGTTGGTCACCTTGGGGAAATCACTTCTCCTCTTCTAGACTTCATTCCTTCATGAGGATAATAGAAATTACTTACAAGTTCCCGCATTCACTTTCAGTGTCATTGTATGGTGGAGATGAGATAGAGCAGGTAAGGGGCTCAGCTTAATACATGACAATGAGTTTCTTCTCTATGTCACATTTATAAGGTCTGTGCTTCTTGTCATTAACACCTTCACCTTTCAGTTTTCTTAAAAATTAAAACGTAGGGTGCATACCATCAAATATGTGAATAGTTGCAAAAGTTCACCCTGCAGACAAATTTGATTCTGCTGTCCAAACTGAATTGAAATGTTTTCTTGAAAGATGACGTAGGGAACTTCACTATGGCATACAAAAGTGGTTTGGGGTGTTGATGTATTTTGTTAGAGGTTTGAGTTATACTCTAGCAGAAGATGTGGGCTTCCTCAGTGGCTCAGTGGTAAAGAATCTGCCTGCAATGCAGGAGACGTAAGAGATGTGGGGTTCGATCCCTGGGTCAGGAAGGTTCCCTGGAGGAGGAAATGGCAACCCACTCCAGTATTCTTGCCAGGAAAATCCCATGGACAGAGAAGCCTGGCAGGCTACAGTCCATAGTAGGTGGGGTTATTTTCACTAATATCAAAGGTTGGGGCCTCTGTGAACAGTCTCACTGCACTTTCAGTCCAGACACTAGAAGGAGTGCTTTCAGTAGGACTGGGTAGGGACCATGGTAAAATTCCCTGTCTACTTTGAAGGGCAGGGGCTATGGCAGGCTGCTGTGTCTGTTCTATCAAATAGCTCCCCAATCCTCTGATGAGTAGTATGGGGACCTTTGGGACAGCACAGCACACAGCAGTCATGAAGCTCTATGGGCCAAAGGGCAGAGGATTTTTCTCCTCCTCGAACCTGAGTTAAATGGTCTCAAAGCTGGACAAACGGATTTCTTCTCCCTACCTGGTCCTGGCTCCAGAGGTTTCACTACACACCCTGCAGGTGCGTGGGGCTGCCTTTATAGGTTATTTTCTTCAGGCAGTTAAGAGGGTCTCTGTCTGTTCATCCCAGGAGGTTTGGGGCCGGGCCGATAAGGAGCCGTGTCCCGGCGTGATTCTATACTTCTGTTTCCCAGAGACGGAGATGTGGCAACATCAAGGCAGCCAATGCGTGGACCAGAATCCAGGAGCAGCTTTTCGGGGAGCTGGGCTTGTGGCATCAGATGGCAGAAGCCACACCCTGCTCCCAGTGGGACCTGGATTGGAGAGAAGGACCAGCTCGTATGCGGAAACGCATCAGACGCTTATCTCCACTGGAGGCCCCGAATCAAGAAATGCTCAAGGTAAGAATTAGATGCAACAAGACAGGATGCTTCCAGACAGGAAATGTGTAGGGAAGTGTCTCCTTAGCTTTTCCATCTGGTATTTCCATCAGGAGTGCTTTGGCATGAACAGATAGGAAGGAGAATGTCCACAGTTAACTGTAGGAGTGCTGTATTGTATTCTTGATGTTGTTTGACAGAAGAATCACTAATTCCCCAAGTACATAAAAGGGATGCTCTAACTACAGTCTGAATGAATGTAGATATGAGTGGTTCATATCTACACCACCAATCCCACCAACCTAATACCATGCTGACATCCATAAAAGTTCATTAGAATGATCTGGATGCCAGCTTTGTGTCCTGGAGAAGTCATAACCAGCCCTCATATGGGCATTATTGTGCAGGCAAATCCCATATCAAGTCTTACAGTGGAAATAGCTGGAACTCAGCTATTTCTGCAAGCTTGAGCCAGTGACCTGTTCAGTCCAAATGACACTGAAACTGGATTAGATTCCCAGGCAAGAAAATCTGGACAGTCCCTGGGACTTGGCTGTAAAGAAGCTTGGACTCTCTGTCAAACTTAGGTTTTTGCCTTTTAAATGATGAAGAATCATCCTTGGATTGGTACTGAATATAGGAAGAACCTGTTAACAGCATTTCATGTTCTCACTGAATGATCCTGGTTTAAGAGATTCTAAAAAGCTGTCTTTCCAAACCCTGGAACTCAAGATATTTTCTTCCTCATCCACCTGAAGTTACGATGTTGGGTTTATTCTCTAGTCCATCACCTCAGAATCTTTTACCCACGTTAAATCCTTTGTAAAATCTAATGAAAATTTATATTTAATTTATTCACTAGACATTTTAATTTTTGATGTATTACCAATAAACATCTGGCGGTATATAGTATTTTTACCTCAAATACATTGCTTAGGAGATGGAGGCAGGAAAAATAAGCCTACCCATGGTGCTGATGGCAAGGCTAAAGGGTGGCTGTGGAACCTGGCCTCTGGTCACTTGGGCTGCCCCAGACCCTGTCTCTGGTCCCCCCTCCAGGGTGGCCCATACCATAGACAGCCAGGATGCTCTCTATTCCCATTTGGCATATCTTTGGTAATTACTGTAAATCTGACTTAATGGAAAATTGTGGGTTTTTTCCCCTTTGACTCAGGAACATTAATATTTGCATTTGATCGTGGTCCTTTAGGATTTGGCATTTTGCCCCCCTTGCATCTGAGTCTTGAGTGTGTAAGTGATTCAAAGGGTCAAATGTGTGCATGCGTGTGTATGTGTATTTATGCAAATCTTTGGAATGGGGGCTGGGGCACATAGGTATCCAAATTTAATATCTGTTTCTCTGGTTTTATTTTAGGAAAGCCAAAATAGAAATGGCAGTGTTTCTCAAATGAACACTGAAAACCAAGGTATTCAATTTATCTATTTTTTAATTCAATAGTTAAACCAATTTTTTAATTTATTTAACATCTTCTTAAAGGTATCAAGTTAATATATTGTAGGAAAAGAATGCTGCAAGTCTAGAGAAGAGAGTGTAAAGCCTTTCATCACTGTGCTCTTGCAGACATGAACACTCTATTAAGGGAAGGATTTTGTGTTTATGTTGCAACAGTAAGAACATTTTTCAGGGAAATTATCTTGTCAATGTGCTCTGTGAGGGAAATCTTAAAAGTGCCCTGCCCAATACAAATACATGTTCAATATATGACCTAAAACACCTAGGAGGAAAATAGGAAAATGTTTTAGAGCAAAAGTGGATGGAAGAGATATTTAATACTTACACTGAATTCTCTGATTATAAGATGACAGATATAGTGGTCATTATTATTTCTCTAGTTTGAAAATGTACTTTGAATTCCTTATGTTTACTTTTTATCTAATACTCATGGAGGAACTTGGTTGAATTGATATGTTGATAATCTAGTTTATTTTCAGAGATCATTTTGCCCCATACACTTCCAAGTGAAAGTGAAAGTCTCTCAGTCATGTCCAGCTTTTGCGATGGCATCCTCTAGGCCAGAATACTGGAGTGGGTAGCCTTCCCTTCTCCAAGGGATCTTCCCAACCCAGGGATCGAACCCAGGTCTCCTGCGTTGCAGGCAGATTCTTTACCAACTGAGTCACCAGGGAAGGCCCCAACACATCCAAATACATACCAAATACACACTCAGACACGTGCACTACATTTCAGTTTTTGTGTTTCTACCAAGGATGTGCCTTTTGTTTCAAACACTCCCTGTCTGTGCGTTTCACTGTGTCCTAGGCTGCAGCTGATGTCGTCTCCTTAACCAAGTGACAACTTCCTAGAGCTGATTAAACTCTCGTTCAGTGCCTTAGCCCCGGATTTTGTGTGGAGCTTGCTATCTTGCCAGTCTGCAGCAATGAAGCCCAGAAATAAGGATCTTGAGCCCTGATCCTGTGTTGATTTGGGGGTCCCACTGTAGCACAGGACTTGGGATGACATTGTAACACCCATTTTCTGGTTTCTCTTCTTTTCAGCCCAAGTGCCATAACCCTAAGGTTAGAGGGACAGTCTGCCTGCTCTCCTTCTCAAAAGGAGACTGGGTGGCTGCAGAAGATGCAGTGGCAGAAAGCAGGGGCTGGTTCTATGAGGATGAGGGCCACAGGCTGCTGAGTCCCCTCATTTATCACACAGAAGACGCCCCTGGTCGCCTAGAACCCCAGGCCTTCTCTTGTTTCCAGCATGGACCCCCAATTCCCAGTAGGGAACTCAGGAAAGGGGAAAAGAAAGGGCTGTGATCTCCACCGTGCCTTCGGGGGTGCCCATGTCTGCACAGTGCTTTCTTTGCCTGTGATGACTCTTGCTGTGAGCAGCAGTCACTTTCACTCACCCAGATGTGAGATACCCAGGTGGGGAGGAGTTCAAAGAGATAAGCATCCTGGCACCAAGAGAATGACCAGAAGCCCCCTTGACCTGGCTGCCATGTGCAATGTGCTGCTCAAGGCCGGTGGACAACCGGGACAGGGTGGAGGAACAAGATCTAGAGATATACATAGGTCTATGCTTAGCTGGTACCCAAATGCACGTGTCCAGGAGTGCATCCTCAGGAAATAAGTCTGTATGTACACACACTGATTGCAGCACTGTAGATTTTGGTAATACCAAAATAGATAATAGTTGTATCTCTAAAAGAATAGGAAATAGGTTGAGTGTTTAAGGAAAGCACACAATAGATTATTACACAGCCACTTAGGTTGCTTTCTAAGAACTTTTAATGGAAAGGGAAAGTATTCATGGCATAACTTTTTTTGAGCAAAATTTAGAAAAGAAAAGCTATAAATTCAATATAATTCTCATTATGTCAAAATTATATATGTACATACATATACATGGGGCTTTCCAGGTAACTTGGTGGTAAAGAATCAGCCTGCCAATGAGGAGATGCATGAGACACGGGTTTGATCCCTGGGTCAGGAAGATCCCCTGGAGGAGGAAATGGCAACCGACCTCAGTATTCTTGTCTGAAAAATCCCATAGACAAAGGAGCCTGGCGGGATACAGTCCATGGGATTGCAAAGAGACAGACACAACAGCATGAATGCACATGTATTTCTGCACATATACATATGTGTACAGAAACAATATATAGTAAACCAAAGTATGGCCAGTGAGGGCAAACAGCCTAGAGATGAAAGGGACTCTAGCGAGGGACTTGGTTCAGATCCTGCCTCAGATGTTAGTAGCCATATGACTTTGAGTCAAGTAATTAGCCTCTGTCAGTATCTTCATTTGTCAAGTGAGGATGGAATGGAATCTACAACCTAGGTAGGAGTAGAGGGAAAATGTCATTCAAGGATTCGGCACAGAGAAAGTGCTCACTAAATGGAAGCTATTGTTATTTGCACTCTCTCTGGGTGCATGGACAATATTTGTTTAATTTTTCACAATTTTTGTATTTCTCCCAACTTCATGAGTTTTCCAAGTTTTTTCTTTTTTACAATAAAAAGATAGTTTCCATAATTAGGAGGGCAAAGGTCACTTTTTAAAAAGAGTGAACAGAGTGAAGTTGAGAAAAAGCAAATCCTGGTGACCCTCTAGGGAACTGCTTTACTGATTAATGAAGGTGAATTTTTAAATGTTGCCCTGTGGTCACTGGAAACCCGAGAGCAACTGGGCTTAGATACACTTTCTGGAGTACATCAACCTGCAGGCATGTTCACCTCACAATGAGGTCAGAGGGGTATGTCCACTTTCAGAAACAGTAAGGGACACCCTAGGATCCACACTGTTCATGGCTGCTCTGAGACTCTGCAGTTCCTCCCAGGGCCTCAGACCTAGGCTGCACACTTCCCTCATGATGCAAGGTGGCCCATACCCAAAACACATGTCCCCTTTTTCCTGTTGCAGATGAGCTGACACTGAAGGAAGGCGAGAGTGAGAGAGACGAGGTGGTGGACTGCACCCAGCTGACCTTCTTCCCCGCCTTGCGTGAAAGCCTGCACTCTGAAGATTTCTTAGAACTATGTCTGGAAAGACAAGTCATCTTACAAGAGCTTCTTGATCATGAAAAGGTAACACAGCCCATCACAATTACTCTTTAAAGATTATCAGACATGAGAGAACTCAACTTTTTGCACTCACATAAGAGGTGATATCTCTATTCACCATAAAGAAGTGAAGGAGCAAAAAAACCCCAGCATACTCCTAAATTTATGGGCCCAGAGCAAGTATGTGAATGCCCATACTTGTTGCATCAAAATGTTTAGATGTAAATCATGTTGTTAATCTGTTAAATGAAATATATTCTAATGTCCTACATTGACCTTTATAATAACCTGTGGGCCAATTTCAACTTAGAATTCTTGACCTTCTTATGGTTCAGCGTCTTGGTCCCCTGCTCACAGCCTGACCACTCTAAAGGTTCATCCCACACCTTCAAAAGGGGCCTTGGTAGATGTGTTTGGACACTGACCCATTTGTCCCAGCTGTCCCCACATTCCTCACCCTGAAATCAGCTCCCCTTGGCCACCACTCAAGCCTAGAGGAAGCATACTCATGGCACCGTGAGCCCCGGAAAGGGTGGGCCCATGCATAGTGTGCACAGCCAGGAGGCAGGCTGGGCAGTTAGCAGGGAAACCCATGGTTGGGAATGCCTGGGGCTGGGTTGTGGGATCCCAGGCTCTTGGTGTGCATGACCTCTGGGTATGCCTGAAGGAGGGTTAGGGGGTCTCCCTGAAGTACAGGCACAGAGGTGGTCTCTCTTACACAAATCTAAGTAAGTATGGAAGATGAAGCACTTATCTTAAAGTAAAACAGAACTGAACTGAAATCCCAACGTGGCCACATACTAAATAAATGGCCTGTTACTTCATCTTCGTGAGCCTCAGTTACTCTCATCTTTAATATCGCAGCCATAGCAACCATTTCACAAAATTATCATAAGGCTTAAATGGAATAATGGAAGCAAAGTGACTAGTGCCAAGCCCAGCTCATGTGAGCTGGCTTATTAAAGACCAGTTCTCTTCCCTTTTCAAAGGCCGTCTATCTCATCTATCAACACTTCTGTCTGGGTTGCTATGCATGTAAGTGAAGAAGAGGCCCCAGCAAAGCAGAGGAGTGGGCAGGGCAGGGCCAGAAAGTCATGCGGGGTCTACACAGAGGGGAATGCATGAGGGCTGAGAGCTAGCCTGGCCACAGGGTAGAGAAGAGCAGAGCAGAGCTATGGGCCACTGAGTAAGCAGCCTGGATTTCCAGGCCCAGGTGACAAGCTCAGAGAGTCTGTGATGCGTTTCAGCAAGGAGCAGAAACTGAACTTAAGCCTGTCCTTTCCAGGGGCAGGTTCCTGGTAGAGACCCCTGGAGGGTGTCAGATGGGGATTTGCTCCTTCTTGGCATTGGGTAGAAGGACTGGCTTGAAGTGCATTGGCCAAAGGGATGACTGCAGAGCTTCTACCACATTGCTTAGTTGCTTTCAGATCTGGGTAACAGTTCAATCAACACAGTCCTGGAAGAACAAGGTCCTGATATGTGCTTAACCCACAGCCTTCAGCCAGAGAGCACATTTGCAAGCCCCCATCATATCTTGCCACCACGCCTTGCTCATGCTGGCTCATCTACCTGCAGTGTTCTGCATGCTAGACTACTGGCAACTGACCTGTCCCCAATCTGAGACCTAGAAAGCTGTCTCTCCTTCATTCCCTGTGTCCTCTGCCTACTGCATCTCCTCCTTCCTTTGCCCCTGGCATACAGGCTAACCTTCACCACTTCACCTGTCTCTCTCTCTCTCTCTCTCTCACTGTACTGATTCTCATACACGGAGGGACCCTCATTTTTTCCTGAGGTGCCCAACTAGGGGCATGCCTAGAGAAGCCAGTCAGTAAACACTGACGAATGAAGATTTATTATGAGTGCGTGTGTGCTAAGTAGCTTCAGTTGCATCTGACTCTGTGTGACCCATGGACTGTAGCCCACCAGGCTCCTCTGTCTGTGGAATTATCCAGGCAAGAGTGCTAGAGTAGGTTGCCATGCCCTCCTGCAGGGGGTTTACCTCCTGCAGGTTCTTTACCACTAATGCCACTGGAAAGCCCCAAAGATTTATTATATTTACATTCCTTTTATTTTGGCTATGGAAGTAGTGTTAGTCTACTGTGTTAAAGTTTAAAAAAAGGATATTAAAACATATATATGTAACATATATATGTTTTTATGTGTGTATACATATTCATAATATCCAGCTGCCGAGTACTAACAGCTGATGACAGTTTGAACACATCATCTGTTAATATGTTCATATTGGTAAATGGATGTTTAGTAACTGCCCAGTCAATTGAAAACAGCTAAGAGATCATGCTTTCTTACTTTAAAGGCCTTTCTTTGCTTTGTGCTCTTAAAGGATCATGTGAATTCTCAGCATGGGGCAGCTTTGCTCCCAGGGGCCACTGCCAATGTCAGGAGACACATTTAGTCGACTTGACTTGGTGGGGATGGGTTGCTAGTGGCGTCAGGTGGGCAGAGGCTAAGGATGCTGCTTCACATCCTCCAGTGCTCAGGAGAGAAGAGACTAATTATTCAGCCCCAATTGCCCATAGTGCCAAGGTGAGAAATCTTGATATGAAGGATGCATATTACACAGATTATTGAGCCCTAGCCATCCCTCCCTACTTCCCTGATAGGGTAAGGAAATTATATTGTCTCCATATTGACATGTAATTCTTTATATTGTTTTGATAAGAAGAGAGCAATGGCAATGCTTTGTTTTCCTTTGGTATATTAATTTTCTATTACTGCCATAACAAATTACCAAAAACTTGGTGACTTAAAACAACACACATTTATTATCTCAAAACTCCGAGCACAACATCGCTCAGCTGGTTTTCTGCCTAAGAGTCTCACAGGGGCTGAAACTGAGGTGTTGGCAGGACCGCGGGTCTCTCTAGAGACTCTGGGAATGGATGCACTTCTGAGCTCATTCAGGTGTTGGCAGAATCCAGTTCTACAATTCTGTAGGACTGAGGTCCCTGTTTCTTGCTGGCTGTTAACCAGGGGTTATTCTGAGCTGCTGGAGGTTGCCTACATCCCTGCCTTGTGGCCCCCTTCCTGCATCTTAAAAGCCAGCTGCAGTGGCCTTCTCACCCTGCATATCTCTCCAACCCCCTTCTGCCTCATCTTCCCTCTCCTTCGTCTCCCCTCTGCCTCCCTCCTCCATTGATTCTCTCCCACCAACTCTTCCACCTTCCTCTTCAGCTGCTAAGGTCTCATGGGAATTGGACCCACCAGGTAATCCAGGGTAATCTCAATATTTTAAGGTCTACTGATTTGCAATCTTAATTTCATCTGAAATGAGGAATCATTTCCAGCCCTTCAAGTAGCGCCTGGTTTAGTGTTGGATGGGATAACCAGGGATGAGGCTCTTGGGGGACATCTTTGTCCCTAAACACTGCCTGCCACATTTGGTACCACTGAAGATCCATATCTCATCTAATCCATGTTCCTACCATCCAAGAAGAGCTTCTGCAGATAGCATGACTCCCAGGTGCTTGCCAAGACTGGCCAGGTATCTGCAGCCCTGACTGGGCTGGGCTGAGGGCAAGGTCTGAAGTTTATAGTCACGGTCGGTGCTAATACCAGCCTGGCCTGTGCAGTGGGTACTTGCCTTCAGTATTTTTGTTAATTGTCTCACGCTGTAGCACTTCACTCTGGGGTCTTGTTGGGGAAGCCAGAGCCTGAAGCCCCCGGTGGCTAACTTCCCCAGCCTCTGAGAGGCAGGCCAGGACTAGCAAGATGCTGTTCCCCTGTCCTCCCCTGCCTGTATTTAAACTTCAGTCTCTCTGGGCCTCCATGTCACACAGCAGGAGACTGTCAGAATGCTTCGCGTGGCTCATGACTCCAGACTGTACAGACAGGAGCTTGTGAAGCCCAACAGGGGCTAAGGCAGGAACCGTCCTGTTTCCACATAGCGCTTGGTGTCCCTTTGTCTGCGGAGAGGGACCACCCTGGGTGTGGGGGCCAAAGGAGCGTCAGCTCCCAGGAATGAGGTGCTGAGCAGCTGCAAGCAAGATGGTTCTGAACATTATCAAAACATTTGTTCTTTGCATGAGTTGTTTTGATCCATTTTGTTGAGTTGTGCTCATTCCCTCTGGCTTTATGGTTAATTGTGGAAGAGACTGTTCTCTGATTCAGCTGAATTCCTGCAGGGTCAGTGGACCAAACCACCAGATACAGCCACTCCTTGGAGAAGTTCTAGGAGACAAGCGAGGGCCCCATGGGGACAGGCTCTCTTTAGGCAGAGTGGGCAGGGGTCTGGCCCCAGTTCCACCTCCACCGCTTATATTGCATGTCCTCACCGGAGACTCTGTGCCAGGCACAGAGGAACTCTCGATGGCTTGTAGCTGCTATTATCACTGTGACCGTGGCTCTTTCTTTAATAGTATCTTAGGATTTGTTCTCTCAGTCCAAGAAAAAGGGGAAAATGGGGTATTAACTCTGAACACCAAGCAATTACCTTGAGGAAGTGGGGAAGGGCCTGTCAGTGCAAATGAGGAAGTTCTCGTCTATGGACGGCATCGAACCCCAGGCAGGCCTCCGCCCAGCAGGTCAGGTTTCTCCTGGGTTCTACTCTGACCCTCTGTTCCATCCTTCATCATCTCAGCAGGAAAGATATCCACTCAGGCCTGGATTCTTTCAATCTGTCCCAGCTCAGCACTTACCCCATCGAGGAAAGGAGAATTGTTGCACTGACTCTGGAACCACGGTGCAAATGGTAAAGAATCTGCCTGCCAATGCAGGAGATTCAAGAGACGCAGGTTTGATCTCTGTGTTGGGAAGACCCCCGGAGAAGGAAATGGCAACCCACTCCAGTATTCTTGCCTGGAAAATGACATGGACAGAGGAGCCTGGTGGGCTACACAGCCCATGGGGTGGCAAAGAGTTGGACATGACTGAGCATGTGCACGCGCACACACACACACACACACACACACACACACACACGGACCATGAAAGTGTTCAAGCAAAGATACAGGAAGTGTGCCCACAGCAGGGGTGTGTGTGTGTGTGTGTGTGTGTAGACGTTT